AATGCAGGTTTTCTGGTCCTATTAGAGCTATCAGTGGCATTTGATATCATTGCCCCTGGTATCCCACTGAAGCATCTGTGAAGTATGGGTGATAGGCCATTGTAGTGGTTCCACTCCTTCTTGGCTGGGTGGTTCCAGTTTATAAGCCTAGGAAATGAGTGATCAGACTCATGGCCACTGTTATATGTGATGCCATAAGATTTGACTCTTTCCCCAATTTTTAACATTAATGTGAAACTACTGGGGCAAGTCATGAATGGGTTTCAAGAGGGGTGTCATCAGTATTAAAGATAATCAGTTATATATCTCCAATCTACGTCAGGCAACAAATGCAACAGAGGTCCTTACTTGATGTCCCAAGGCAGTAAGAGGACAATTGAAACAAAACTAGTTAAAATTGAATCCCAGCAACATGGAGTTGCTATTGTCAAGGAACCAGTTGGAGTCCTTTATACAGATTATTAGTAGAGAGTCATTCCCCCTGAAAGAGCATGTCTGAGATTTGTGGATTTCATGGATTTACAGACTCTACTAGACTGTCAGAGTATGAAGTCAGGAGAGCTTTTGCCTTACTGTGGCTGGTCTACCAGGTGTGGCCTGTTTAAGTTAGACTAGGAGACCCTAGTAAAAGTTACTCACATTATTACAGATTTGGACTATTGCACTGAACTCTACTCAAGGCTGCTTTGAGTGTGATCAAAGACATGGTGCTGGTGGGAGAAGACTGCTGAATATTCTTCAAATGGAATCTGTTCTTCATGTTCGTTGAACTCAGAAGAGTTCTTGTGATCACCTCTACTGAGGATGTGAAAGAAAGCCACAATCAGGTTTTTTTTTTCACAACTAGCCTCTTTCTTCTAGAACAATGTCTTGTCTTAAAGAGTGGTCTTTGTCCCTCTGACTTCTAAATGTCCCTCACAGTTCTCAATGCAACAAAAAATTGGGTTTTTCAGCAAACGTTTGTAGATTGAAATTTTTGGCATGAAGATTGTTTTACACTAGGTTTAATGAAGGGTTTTCCATTTATTGTTTTAAATTATTTGCTGATATTAATTACTTGGAATTAATGAAAGAGATCAGGATACAAATGTTTTGTGTAAATAAATAAGTAGCTTTTAGTTACAAACTGTTAATATAGGTCTTCGTTGCCACCTAATGTGAATCCAGGGACTTAGGTGACATACATACATACATACAAATAAACAAACAAACAAATAAATAAATGTCTTTAAAATGAGAGTACTCTAAACTTACAGTGTTTTGTTTCCATCACATGGAATATTTAAGGCTATTTTTTAAATGTAGAGATTTTATTCATTCTTAATCATTTAAACTCAGCTATTTAGCAGAAGGTAGAAAAATATTGAGTGGATCATAAATTTCCAACACTGTTCTCCTACTCATCCATATTTAAAACATATATTTCATTCTACTCAGTGAAATGAATGAATGTATTTATAACAGTAAGACATTTGAAACATTTCAGATGTCAAGCTTGAATGGCAATATTGCTACGTTTTTATATTTCAAAACCCATAAAAGATTTATCATATATTCATAAAATCATATTTTTTAAAACTTATCATAGCCTTAATCAAAATGGCTCTTTTTAATGATTGGATAAATTTCTGTAATGATGATGTAAACCACCCAGAGTCATTTAGGTGCGATGGGCAGTATAAAAATTTAATAATAATTCTATGACTAAGGAATATAAACTCACTCAAGTCTGATATCTTCTAGGTGTTTTAGAATGAATTTACATTGATCTCAAACAGTGCAGCTAACAAGAAGGGAATATACAGCAAAACATTTGGAGTGTATTGTAGTATCTATTTCTGGTCTACTCTTCCTTAAGGTGTCTTCATATTTTTACCTGCTGGGACATTTAAGAAAATTATCAGTAATTAAGTTTCAAGTTGTATTGCTTTGAACCAGATGTTGTCTTTACTTTGTGCAAATAAATAGAGTACATTACAAACACCAGTCTGTGGTACAGATGATAAATAGACCTTTGGGAATGACTAACGTAATTATAAAGTGAACAAACTGTGGACTAACTTGAATGATAGAAATAAAGCTAAAGATCATGGTAATTATATTTGGCAGACCCTTCACAATGGTTTGCCTACCATTATTCAAATCATGCCTCTATCCCCATAAAACATTACTTAATCATTTAATCTGCAGGGCTTTTTAAGACATCACATCCTCCATTATTAGGTATTGTCTGCTAATGGTTAATCTCTCCTTCATTTGTCTCTTCCATATTCTAATCATCCTCTCATCAAATCCGGTTCTCTGGCATTTTTGTATTGCTGTATTGGCTATCTTTTTAAACTTAGGGCATGTTTATAGCAGAATGTGTCTTACTAAATCAAGCCCTCAAGATCTTCTGACTTCAGAAACCATTTGTAATTTTTAACTGAATGTTATCTACTTTCATGTTTTTTTTGTAGTATTTGCTTATTCTGCCTAGGTTTTTTTTAAACTGATTTTAAGGTTGTGTTAGTTTTAAATATTGTCTACTCCGAGTAACAGTTACAAGATTTTTATTATTATAACATTTCCAGCAGATGACAATGTTGTTATCTGTTTCTACTCTTTCTGTATTTCCTTCCTTTCATAAATGGACAACTATGTTTCTCTAAGATTTGCTGCTGTTTGGAAACAAAATAGAAAATGTAAGTAGCCAAGGAATAGGATTGCACAACAGAATTAACTAGAGTTTCAAAAAAAGTTTCATATGTAGGTAAAGCTGTGTAAATTTAAGAGAGTGGCATGGGTATCTTGGTTTAAGGTAAAGTCCAACTGAGCCCATAGCTCATGATTTTATGTTGTATGCATTCCAATGGGTACGAAGAGGCATGTTTAGTATATGTGTTGCATTATACAGTAACAGTTGCTTTTAACATAAAATGTGCTCTTGTGCCTTATTGATTCTCCAGGTAAAATTAAACTTGATTTGGGGGTTCTGCATTTCAGACTGCAAAATTAATCTTCAAATTTACTTCACTGCCATACTAGCGAAGAGATGTAGAGGATCGCAAAAGTGATTGCTGTGGATATTGCTATCCTTCTGCTTGTTCCTCATGCTTTCCTCTCTTACTGTTTCTTTATTATGTTCTTCTTTTGAACCATCTAGTGGAGTGAAAAGAGGGTTTGTCCTAGAACTGAGGTTGGTTGATTAAATACCAGGTCATTTTATCAACTTGTTAGCAACTGTGGGCAGGAGGCTGCATTTTCGCATCAGGTGCCCCAGCTGAAATTATTATGCCCTGTCTTGTAAATTACATTCATGTTCTCCCCATGTTCCCTGTGTTATCAATTTCATAAGATAAAAATTGCAAGCCACCAAATGTCATATTAACATTCAATGCGATGCTTATCTATCAAGGTTATGTTAAACTGGAATGTAAGCTGATCTTAAGATATGCATAAATCAGTATATATAATATATAAAGTTTCTTATCTTTAAAAAGATGCCTTGTTGGCTGAAAACACCAAGATATTAAGCAGTACATTTGTTTTGGCAAAACCAATTGATTCAATGAGGCTGGAGGAGAAAGCCCATTGATAAAAACTATATACTTTTCTCCTAGTTCCTGCAGTTTTCTTGGCACTATTTCCAGTTGTGGCTTGTCCTTGCCTTCTTTCTAAAGCTGTAAGAGAAGGACTAACCAAGATCACCAACTGTAGTAAAAATGGTTGTAAAATCAGATCCGTTCATGTCTTGACTTGCTTTACAATTGCTTCGACTTAAACCAGAAACTCCAGTCCCAATTGTGGTTGTGAGTCAAAGACTCCCTGTATGTTTGTTTGTTTGTTTAAGTACAAAATGATGACTTCAGTACTTCTGCTAACAAATCTAAGATATTCCAATTGCACTGAAGGACAGTTTATGCAAAAGAGTGTTACATTTTTATCCATGCCAAGAACTGTGGGAATGAGTCATAGGCAGCAATGCCTTTCTGTCAGTGAAATGTTACAACCAGTGACTCAAATCCTTCCCACTTGCAAAATTTTGAAGAGCCCCTTTGGAGCAGGCCATCAAAAACCTCCAGTCCAGGCATATCTAGCAATTGTTGGAAATGTAGACAAAATCCAGGCACTTATTACCATCTTTGGTGGGCATGCCACAAAGCCAAAAGATTCTGGTCAAGAATACACATATGGTTAGAGAAAATGACAAAAAAAAACATGTAGATTTTAAGCCAGAATTATTTTTGTTAGGCATAATAGTAGGAAATTATGAGAAAGAGTGTATATATCTAATTTTACATTGGAAAAATGAAGATTTACCAACAGAGGAAGAGTTAATTAAAAAAAATTTAGATTGTGCAGAAATGGATAGATTGACACTGAAAATGAAAGAGAAAGAAGATTCAGTATATTTTAGAACATGGGATACTTGTTATCAATGGCTAGAAAAACGAGGTAGAGAGAAGGAAATTTAACATGTATTAGTAAGTTGGAACCCAGACAATATGTTGCTGATAAAATATTAAGCATTTATGATTATAAAAAAATTATATATATATATATATATAAAACTCCAGACCAGGGACAGTTTCCACAACCTGGAGGAGTTTTAAGAAGTAAAACATGCAGTTACACCTCATAATGTCTCTGCCTGTTTTTCAGTGAGGTTTGAAAAATTTGTGTTCACCATAAATTCCACTTTTTACAGAATATTCATCTGAACATTTTGCAACCTCTCTTTGATCTGTGGAACAAAGTAGATATTTCAAAAGCCATCTATCGTCTTTTTGCCTGTGTTGGTTTAAGGATGTATCCTCACCCAAAAGAAAATAAATCTGTGGGAATTCCTCACTGAATGGATTCCAGCCTTGCTGGGCTGCACTGCATAGCCAGTTCAGCTTCACTTCTGTGCAAGGAATAGAATGGCAATACGTTAGTGTTGTTTACCTTTAAAAATTACTTATCACAGTTTGTCCGTAATGACCTATTTTATTGTTGCTGTTTGCTTTATTGTACAGCAGACAAGAATATTTCCAGCATGACCAACAGACCCACTCGTGGCAAAATGGAATGGATCATTCCTCTCATTGTGGTCTCAGCCTTGACATTTGTGTGCCTAATCCTTCTTATTGCTGTGCTAGTTTACTGGAGGTGAGCCTTTCTAAATAATTTCAACTATATTATGGTAAATGTTTTTGTGACTTTATTCCCTCTGGGCGATTTCCTATTTTGTCATGAGGGAAAAAAAACCTTTGACAATCAGCTATTTATTTCCAGCTCAACAATTTTATGTCATGAAAATGATGCAGGAGAAAAGCATGTCCTTAATATGTAAAGGACTCCAATATCAAGAAATTCTGAGGAAGTCCTCCATTATCTGAGACCATGGGCCAGTGATTCCAGATCTTGCCTCTTGGATCTGTTAGGCTTCAGCTTCCATCACTGCTGAGTAACAGTCAGTGGGTTACAGGATCTGGGACTCAACAGTATGGAAGAAAAATTCATTTTAATGTTGCATCTAGTTGAGATTAGATGAATGGTCCAAGGTATCTGGGATCACTGTGTTGACTTTCATTTCATAAGATAATATTATCTACAATAATTGTTCTCAACCTGTGGTCCGTGGACCCCTGGGGGGCCACGAAGGCTTGAAGAAATGTTATGATTTAAATCTTGAGTTAAGTCTTGGTGGTCTGTGATCATTATCCATGACCACAAAAGCTATTTAAAGGAGGTCCATGGTGAAGAAAAGGATAAGAATCACTGATCTTCAGCAACAATCATAAGTGGTTTACTCCAGAATAAATCCCAGGTGAGATAGCTTTTTAGTTGTTTGCAATTGATCTTTGACTATATCACCGAACAATGTAAGAAGTATTGAATGTATTATTACATTGGTAACCATCAGTTAAAAAAAATAAAATATGAGCATTTTAAAATATATACACAACTATCATCCCCTTAGTGAGCTTCCATGAAGAGAAATAGCAGGACAGTCCTCCATGGCCATAAAAACACAAATGCATCATCACACACACATACACATGCCACACACCTCTTACTCAGATACCATGGATTTTTATTAAGTTGACTAAAACTAAATGTGATGATTTTAAGACTGGAAAAGGTGGGAGAAGATATTTAGAACAAAGCAAGAAATAAACAATATAGGTAATGTTAAGGAAAATGTTGATTGGGGTTAAGGTTTCTGCTTCCTTTCTGATCTGATTGCATCATTTCTCACACATACCTGTCACAGTCCATAAGATCAAATCTAGTGGTTAAGGCACCAGTCTAGAAATCACAAGACAGTGAGTTCTAGTTCCGTCTTAGGCATCAAATCCAACTATGTGATTTTGGGCCATTCTCTCTCAGCCAAACTAACACCACATGGTTACTCTTGTGGGAAAAAGAGGAGGATAAGAAAGGAGAAATAGGTATGTTCACTGCCCTGAGTTATTTTTAAAAATAACAAAGGCAGGATAAAACATAATTTAAAAATGGCTGCATCCAAATGCCGAGTCATACTCAGAAATACAAGAACAAGCTTCTATGGGCCTCTTTTTTTGTATCTTCTTCTCTCCTCTGATTCAGCCATTTCCTTTAGCTGCAGTTTGCCATGATACCCAAACATCCAACCAATGTTATATCTTGACTAATATCTACTGAAGTTAGTTTTAGTCTAAAATTAGAAGCAGAAGCTTCTGATCTCATGGTGTCTCCGGTGAAGACGAGTGTATGAGCTTAAACCCTGCAGCACTTCTTGTAACCCTCACTCATGTCTGAATATCATGCCTGAATAGTCGTTGATATTTGGTATATGTGCATTAGCCCAGAGGATAAATGGCAGTCATCTCAAGGCACTCAGAGGTAAATGGTAAGTGTACAAGAATCTATTCTAACAAAGATCACTCTGCTTCATGTTGACGTTTGTATTTTTGATTACATCAGGCTGTGATTTACATCATGGGCCTGGTTTTTCTTTGGTTTCCTTTTTTTTTTTTCAATATAAAATTTTTATTGTTTTCCAAAAAAGAAAAAAACATCACAAGTATTACACAATATTATAATATATCCCTCCCCCCCCGGACTTCCCAAACCAAATCCCAGGCTAATATTCAAATATAGGTAAACAAATATTAATATCTCTAACTCCACAAACTCTATTTATAAACAATCCATCTCCTCCACATTAATAAA